AAAAAATGACATCTTTGTTCTTTAACTTATAAAGAAGGAGGGAAAAAAGGTAAACCTGCATCTCAATTCATTAGCTAGAAGCAGATCTAATATTGTGAAGGAGAATTGTGCCTTTATACCCAAAAGAAGTGATCTGGTAATAGAACTAATCTGATTTAACAAAAGCTTCAAAATGGGTCATTGAGGTTAAACAATGGTTTCAGTTATATACTGATGTGGAGAAAATAAGGTATAACTTCATGGTTAAGTACCCACAAAAGTTACACACTAACTTGGGTAACTGGTGAGTGTTACAGGTAGATAGTAATTGGAGGTGAGAGGGGAAAAAGAGGAGCTAATACTAGGGGCTCAGATAGAAAGTAAATGTTTAAAAAATAATGATGGTAACATATGTACAAATATACAATTGAAGTATGGATTGCTCGAAGAGCTGTAAGAGCCCCCCAAAAAAGTGATCTTTTAATTAAAAAAGTAAAAAATAAAAATTTAAAAAATAGTAAACTTTTCCCCTAGCATTGAACTCATAACATACATATATTTAATATTAACTCCTAATGAGCAAATACATTCTTTATTATTCCATGTTATTGGCATGTTATTAGTATGGGATACTGAATTCCAAGAACTCTAAGCCTGTGAAGGGTTACTAATGCCAATCTCTTTAAATAAAAGGTAGAAACTAAAGGTTGAAAGTAGCTTGGGGTTCACAATGGAAAGACGGTTTGGAGGAAGGAAGCAAGGAGGAGACAAAGGACACTTTCTCATTTAAACCCTATTTAGGCTGCGATCAGAAAAGGGCAGAGTTTTGTTTGAGCTTTCTTTTTTTCCTCAGTAAGCTTTTCATTCTGGAACCATTCTGATGGAGAGCATACAGCATAGAGTTGCCTGCGGCCCCACTCGGGCCAGAGCGGCAAGAACCTCACGTCCACCCGCCCCGCCCCGACAGGCGACCCCGCCCCCTCGTGGCTCCGGGTTGCCGGCGTCTCCGGGTTTGGGCCGGACCTGGCGCCCCGCGCAAGCTCAGAGCCCTGCGGACAGCGCGGTTCCCGTCAAACTTCACGGCCAGCCGCCACCAGGTCGGGAGCCCAACTCGAGAACCCTCCACCCGGAAGCCCCTCTCTTCAGAGGCGCCCAAGTCCTCGTGTGCGAGGCGCCTCCCGTGCCCGGCCGGGCGGCGAGAGCCCCGCGGAGCTAGGAGCGAGGCAGCCCCCCTCGGGAGGGGAGGCCCTCGCCCGGGACGCCGTGGGACAGGCCGCGGGAGGCCCCGCAGCGCCGACGCCCTCAGTGGAGCGGAGCCAGCGGAGCTGCTCGGTGCCAGTCCTCCGAAATAAAGGAGCGCGCCTAGACCCCGATACACGCGCAACCGTGGCGACAGTCTGTTGCTTAAGGCACACACCTACAGGCTGTTCTTAAATGCAGCCCACGCCTTCCCGCTGCCACAGCCGCCACAGCCGCGCGCCTGTCCCGCGCTTCAGATGGTCGGTCTTGCGGCGCGGCGGGGCGCGCGCACG